GGGGGGGGGGGGGGGGGGGGGGGGGGGGGGGGGGGGGGGGGGGGGGGGGGGGGGGGGGGGGGGGGGGGGGGGGGGGGGGGGGGGGGGGGGGGGGGGGGGGGGGGGGGGGGGGGGGGGGGGGGGGGGGGGGGGGGGGGGGGGGGGGGAGAGAGAGAGACATTATCCAAAATGTTATGCAGAAGAGGCTTCCCAATTTGGCCATCTCTCCATGTTGCTTCGTGTGTATGAAAAACTCTGAATCCCAGAAGGACGTCTTCAATTCTGTAATGGAACAGATTCTGACTTAAGATCCATGCTTCCTTTGGCTGGCAGACTGCCATCCACGAAAAAGTCAATATTCTCCTCCGTGCTTTCCTGGCTGGCCATCCTTTCAAAAAGGAGAAAGTAATCCTGGATCAGAGCTTTTCTGCGGGCTCTTTGGTGAAGGAAGAATAGAATCTTCAACAAGTTTCGTCCTTTGAAATCTTTTTAGAATGTTGTTAGTGCTCTTGGTTGGTGTAAATGTTTCTACCGTCCTTTTACAAATTATAGAAGGATCTCCTGATGAACAAATTATAGAAGGATCTCCTGATGAACTGGCGGGCGTTTTGTAGTCCTCAGTTGCTTGGGTATTCCACCTTTTTGTATGTCTCGTCATATCAATAAAATATCTGTTTGTCGTTAAAAAAAAAATGTTGCATGCCTCATCATGTGCAGTCCTTTTCTGTACAGACTATTTTATATATATGTATGTATGTATTACTACTACTATTATTTACGAAACTGTGCTTTTATTGAAAAAATGATAAGTACACAAGGACACATCGAACAAAAGGAGTTTGAACTTAACTGTAGAAAATGCCTCTAATTCAAAAGAATAAGTTCAAACTCGTAATTACAAATAAAAGACCTCAAGGAGGCATTGAAACTAACCGAGTCCCAAACCTTCCCACCCGATCTCTCAACCTCTCTAAAAATTCTATTGCTAGACCGCTTGAAAGTACGATTAGTAAGATATTTTCAATTTTATCTATTTTTAGTAAGATGGAAATTTGAACATTTCAAATTTTGTGCTTGAATGCATTTTCTTTGTAGGGTTGGTGCTTCTACTCAACGATGATAAATAGTTTATCAAAATATTTCCTTCCCATTGTCTTGTAGGGGCAACTCCTAAAGGTGTTTTAAGAGTGATGGGGGTACCTGGTCTTACCATATATCATGTCAAAAGCCATTTACAGGTACGTCCATTTAGTGAATTTATCAGCTATGATGCAACTACTTTGAAGGGTGATTGCCGCGTTATGGACTTCGGTTAATGAACTCTTTTGTAATTGTGATCTTGGTTTGATTTTGTTGGATTTGAGAGACCCTTTTGTAGTTACTTTTGGGCTCCTTGTCCATTATTTTTGTCGGGCTTCTTTGTTGCCCTTGTATCCCTCTCATTCTTTCTCAATGAAAGTTCGGTTTATGACCAAAAAAGAAATAAAAAATGATCGCATTTTTATTCTTTCAGAAGTATCGACTTGCAAAGTATTTGCCAGAATCTCCAGCAGATGGTAAAACAGTCTGTTCACTATTGTTTTCATTCTTTTATTCAGCAACGACTTCTTGTCTGTCTATGGAGTGTATTGATTTTCACTTGTATCATCCCTTACTGGCATGTAGGTTCGAAAGATGAGAAGCGAAGCTTAGAGAGTCTCTCTGGAACAGATTCCTCTTCGTGAGTATCCATTTGTATTTAGAATTCCTCTTTTGACTTGTTTTTACTCCAGTATGTTGTATGACACATCGTTCTATTAAATTTTCCATCCTTCAGGGGCCTGCAAATTAACGAGGCATTGAGGATGCAAATGGAGGTTCAGAAACGTCTTCAAGAACAGCTCGAGGTCTGGACTCCCTTATCATTTATTACTCTTCCCCTTTCCTATTAAAGGTGTTGAAATATCTTCTGGAGAGGAAAATACTCTCTCATAAGAGAACTTTTAGAAAATGAGTTTTAGCCGGAGATTTTGAAGGGTGGAGTTGGTGAGATTATTGTCTAGACAAAGGCTTGGGGGATGGGGAATGCAAGGAAACAACACGTATATAATGAGTGTATATTTGCGAGAGAGTGTCGTCTCAAAAGGTTACTGCCACCTTACAATCTTGCTGTTCGTTTTGCTTTATCGGAAGGAAGCAGCCTCTCCATGGTCATTAGAGCGTCTGTTCTTTAATGGATCTAAAATTTGAGATGGCTAAAAATTCATAAGATGGTGGAGGTGAAATGTATTTAGGCATCGATGAGTTCGACACGAAATTAGTTCAGAAGAGTGTTGCTTAGAAGCAACCCAGAAAAGAACAGCCCACACCCATAAACCAAATGCTTCCCCTAGAATGATTGATCGTTTAGGTGCTAGAAAATCCTACATTTCAAATGATTTTGTTTTGCTGGATTTAAGTTGAGCATTTGAAGTAAAGATTGGGATATCATTTCTTCGTCTTGGTTGTTATGTATGTTATTAGAATCTCAAATGCTCAAGAAAGTACCTAAAAAGAGCTTGGTTTGCTTGAATCTCGTATCAGGTTCAGAGGCAATTACAAATGAGAATAGAAGCTCAGGCGAAATACTTGCAGAAGATCATCGAGGAGCAACATAAATTAGGCGGCGAATTGAAAGACTCCAAGGTGTTGCCCTCAGGTGAGGAGGACAATAAGCAAAAGACTTGCCAGTCTGAGTCGTATGGCGATGCATCCGCAGGACCGTCATCTCCCCGAAAGAAACAACGAGTTGATTGTGGATCGACAGATGATTCTGCCCCATCTCCATCTATTAATTTATCTGAACTTACCTGAATAAATTTGTGGTCGATAGGACCGAGAATTGTATGAAAAGTAACATCCAGACGGGTTTGCGTTAGAGTTAAAAATCAAATCTCAGGAGAAAGAAGGCAGACCAGCTGTATCGAGTGTGTACCTGTGAAGTTAAAATTCAATTTGTGGTTCAGAGTACTGTGTTATTGTCGACTTCGCGAAGTCGTCGATGATGTCTGTAACTTTTGTATATAAATTTGCACATTGAACCTATTTGTAAACCTTATTGAAATACTCCTACATTAGCAGTTTCTACTTTGCAGCAAAACACGCTCGTTTTCTGCCGTTTTATCAGTCGTGTATTCGCTAAGCTGTTCGATCGTCCAGAACCCTCATCATCTCATGATATTATCTGTTGTAGGAGATTGAGATGAGTTTATGAAGAAACTATACCTTTCGGTGGGATTCTATTCTTATGTGCTTATTTTTTACCTTCCTTTGGTGCCATTTTTTTAAAACCATTATAAAGTTTATAAATTTAGTATTAAAATCTTTAAAAAAGAAAAAGAAAATTAGTTAGAAATTAAAAGCCCACGTGGCAGCTTTTGATTTGTCAGAAAAAGAGAAAGAGGCGCTTTCAACGTGGCATGTAACAGCGCCGATTTCGCGGGAAGATTAAAAAGAATTAGTGCTGTGATGGTGGATGAAGATATAAAGCACTGGACTCGACTCTCAGTTCTAAGCTCCCACATTTTCCAATCTCTTTCCATTTCCATGGCATCTTCCGAGAAGGAAGCGGCTCTTGCAGCTGTTCCCTCTGATTCCCCCACCATGTAAGCTTCTTTAAGCGCCGTTGCCAACCAACATTCTGTGTTTTTAGTTCTATATACTCTTTAATTTGTCTTTTTTGTGTGTGTGTTTGATTTGCTGGTAATCGGTTCTT